AATTACGTTGTTTCATATCTCCCCCCCCCCAGCATTTTGTGGTAACACACTGCACCCTAAGGATTTTGATTTACTAGTAAAATGTTACTCAAAGTAGTGTGTGGTATTTATGTAAGGATTCAGAATGTTTTGGTGTTGAAAGTTTTTGATAAACTAGACATGTAATCTATCTGTTCCTAGGAAATATGTACATTTCTTTATGGTAAACTATAATGGTTCTCAATTACAGCCTCTACAAATGAGAGTGCAAAGATTTTGGATGAAATTGATGACGCTGAAGTTCGAGCAAGAAAGTATGGTGAGGCCGTTGTTAGTACACTGAGTACAGTTGCTTCTGTGCTGGAATATCCCAGAGGTAATGATTACTTTTTGTTTGTAAATTTTAGTTGTATAATGTAACCTTAATATTTTAATAGGTCCTTCCGTGACTTGTAGTCTGTAAGAAAACTATACCGACCAAGCCATTGCCGCTTGTCGGTGAAGTTAGTGCCAATTTCGAGGGTAATGCAGTTTAATATAAATGTCTCCTCACTGAAGAAAACGAAAATTTGGATAGTTATGACACACCAATTTAAATAACTGAAAACTTGTTGCAAAGCCTGCTTTTGTGGAATACTAGGTAATGCTTGGTCTGTTTCTGTCCTCAGGTGAGGGATGGGAGACACCTAGTCTGTTAGGTCCATTAGAAAGAGCTAACCTCAGTCATGGGTTCACTCTTGCTAATGGACCCAAAAAAGTAGGTGTCTCCCACCCCTCACCTGAGGGTGGAAGCAGGTACAGCTTCTGAAGCATTATGTTGTTTAGAATACTGAATGATGGACAAAGTCCAGAAACCCAGTAATCCTGAGTGTTGTACATCATTGTCAGAACCCTTTAAAATCAGCACGGAGGTCACCTTTAAGGTGTCACATTCAAACAATATTGCTGAAAACAAATTCTTGATAGAAATTGAAATGTATCTGCCTTTGTTAATAAATTTTTCTACTTTGCTTTGAAAAGTTTTTCATTTCAAAAACCATCAGGTGTTTTGTGACACATTCTGTATTTACTGTGAAGTAACTAATGTAAGCTGAAGTGTTTTGGCATTATTGAAGTAATGATTGTATCAGTCATCAGATATTTTTAAATCATAGTATTTGGGCAGAACAAAATTGTGTCGCGTGTTGGGTGTATAACGCGACAAATAACTTCATGCCTTATTTGATATAGCGAATTTATTCCACTCGCTCTCAACAGTCACACGATTTACAATCTCAACATTGCTGCCATTGGCAGCATCACAAATACTAGACTGCAATTAATTGGTTACTCTTTCTCTATTAACTGGCTCAATACTCACTACTCAATAACTAATCATTCACTACTAACTACTGAATAGTGTTCGCTGCTACTTATTTAGCTTCGGTACGGACAACACAGAAAACAGTTACGTAATATGTACCACTGTTTCTTCACGCTGTGTTTACAGGTGTGGCTAGCAACACTGTCAGGATCTGTTTATTGCTGTGTAGCAACCGCAGTATCTCTTGGTAACAACACAGTCACTCTTCTGCCATGTCACAGGGGGGGAGGGGGTGTTTATCGAGCATTGCGTGGTAATGGAAGGGGTGGGGGTATGTGACATCACTCGCAGACTGCAGAGTTCATGTGACCCCTACTTCCCATTGCGCCATCCACGTCACAATGTATTTTTTAATGGGCTTGTTCATAGTTTCTCAAATAATCTAAAGAACTATAGAACTACTGCACCACTCAAAATTTTCAGTGTTATTTTAAAGTTTATGTTTGTGTGATATTATTTGATTGTGAAGTGAGAACAAGTCATGCTTCTCTAGGCATTTTATTTGGTTTGAACCCTTATATTCTAATGCCTCTCGAAAACAATCGTCTACAATGAAATATCTGTACATTATTTTATTTGTCTTGAACTCTTATAAAAGTGATTGTAAATTATTATAAAAATTGTTGTTAAAAGAATATGTAAACAATAAGTCTGTTGGCCACCCTTTGTGGTGGTCAGTAGGATGGTAGGTAGGAGCATGGCACACAGTACATGCAGAATTCATATATGAATTTTAATTTGCCCTTGGTTCTAAGCTATGATGGTCAGATCACCGTTGGCACTGTGATTCCAGGATTAATCAAGGATACTGCTCGCCCATCATATTGGGTCCCAGATCATGAGGTCACACACTGCTGCTGTTGTGACGTTCAGTTTGGACCTCGAGTCACTTTGCACCACTGTCGTGACTGTGGACAAGGTGTCTGCAAAGACTGCTCCATGAACAAACGTGCTGTACCACTTAGGGGATGGGACAGCCCTGTTCGAGTCTGTGACAAATGTATGAAACAAGACTGATTTTTAATCAGACAGGAATTTAGATTATGCGGTACAAAAAAATGGGTAAGTAGAATAATGCCAATTAAATATTTGCTTTGAAATTGGTAACTACAAGAACTGTGTGTTTGCGAGATGTATTTGTGATTTTATTAGATCTCTTGCAGCATTCTAGGCATCTGAGTTTTAGAAACTGATTTTGTGCTGTATTCAGGGTAGAAGTTATTCCCTTATTTTGTATTGTTTCTCTTTTTAAGTTATGGTTTTATCATTTTTGTATAATTTTCATGAACTGTTCTTAAAAATTTAAGAGATAATAATGTATTCAGAGCTGGCTGGAAATTCATCAGTCTGTACCAGCATCTATAGTTGATTCAGTGTACCAATATTGTGTTGCTCTTTGTTTGTCTATTGTTTGAAGTAAAGTTAATAAATGTGCTATTTTGAAGGTGTGGCTGTACTCTTGTCTTCATATTATTGGTTGTCACTAGTTTTTTATTATTATTTTTGTTTTAATTCTATTTTAAGTGAATAAAGAATCGGTATAGTGGTGACGATTGCCTGCAAACCTGAGTAAAGGTAACCTTGAAATGTCATGTATCCCATATGTCACTGAAGCAGTGACAGACATCCTACACAACATTGTATTATATCCCGACACACAAGTCATTTCGCCAAAAAATTTGCAATCTTATATTTCAATACACATGGAAATATCAGTATTTCAGGAACTTTCTTTATTTTATGCATTTCCTGAACTTAGTACCATATTATGAATCATCATCTGTGTGTATTCTGATCTAAAATAACAAACGAAGAATACTCTTCTATGATTTGGCGCTGTGTAGTCAGGGTGATTGCTACGTGTTTTCTCCTTCTTTTGGGTTCAGGATGGAGGTGGCAGGTTCCTCTGCAATATTGGTACCAGTCTATCACATCCAAGAAAACAGTAATCGTGAGAGCTGCTGTAGGAACCTCAAATCTTATGAAAATAATTGCCAGGCAATGTGCCACAGTGGGCATTTTCAACCAGAGAAATTTATAAGGAAAAAATTGTGTCAAAATAGTTCAAAATTTGCATGTTACATATAGGAGTATACAGTGTTTTCTGAAGTGGGTATTTTATGCGATTTATTAACCATAGCTACATCTTGAACTAAGCTTACTTAATTATATAATTTAATATACATTCACAGATCTGACCAGTGTCATCATTAGGAATTCTTGACGTCTGGAGTTTCTTCATCATACGACATGTAGAAGATTATCATGTCAGTATGTGCCCAATGTTATAAGACTGGAAGCATGGAGTCATAGTTGTGTCACTTGAAGTATCATGTTGGTAATGCTCACTCAAAAACAGTCAGAATGTAAACCTGTCAAGAGAGAATTACCATACAATATTTCTACTCGAGAAGATACCAAGTTTGGAAAAATTACTGCAGTTATCCAAAATCTAGAAGGAAATGGAATAATGTTTATTAAAACTGTGATATTTTTTAAGGTTATCCATAATTGTGTTCTGTAGCTTTATGATTTCTATTGCTGTTACTATACTCTTGTACCTTAACTCTACAGAAAATTAGTATTTTTAATTTTCCTTAAAAATTTGCATCACATTTCTGTTAACTCTTTAAGGCGATAGCATTTGAAACCCTAGCTCATTCTTGGTGTGGGAGCAGTATTTATGGTTGTTAAAATTTTATTCAAACATGGACAGAAATCACTTGCATATTTGTTGAATAACTTCCACAGTTTTAGTTCCATTGGAATAAGATTTGGCATACCTGTTGTTTGTAGATTACAGATATTGAGTTCTTTGTTATCCTAGAAATATTATTATGTGTTGTAGTAGTATTCTGTAAACACCCATCTGAACACAGTGCAGCATCACAGCTGTTGGAATAGCTGTTCTTCTGATATACTTACTGTAAACTACACTCTACCCTTCAAATATTTATATTCAAGCAAAATTCCAGTCTGTAAATTTCTTCAGGTGTTATCACCATGGTGACTTGCCGCTCAACATTATGCTCATGTATAGAATTCAGTAGGAGTTTTCCAGGAGTTGAAATTGTGAGCGAACTGAAATACCTACAGAGGTGTACAGCCATGCACTCAGAAGTTGACAGCATCCTGAGCCTGTGAGAAATAAAAGTTTCAGTCAGACCTACAGAATTATACTATTGTGATTTACTGTGGAAATGGATTATAAAATGTTATGATTTTGCCATTTTATGTATGTACAGCTTTATGTAGAAGCATATAGTTGGTCACCAGTGAGTAATGTTTTATTTCATTTTTGTATTTTAATTCTGTGTTAATAATATTTGAGTGTGGATATGTGATGTACGTATAACTGGCATTTATTATGGTATGTGAATTAATATGTAGAGATTGGAAGATTTTTATTTTCAAAACAGGCACCTAGGAATTCCCTATAGACCACTACATTGAAATCATATCTCAGACCTTTAATATGAAGCCAACAGCCTAACTAAAGTGGTCACTTGGTATGATGAAAACAGTTTAGCAAGTGAGCACAAGTGAGTAAGCTCATGAAGAGCAGCTGTTCAGGAAAGACTAGAGTATAATTTTGTTGAAAACGTAAAACAACTGTGCTAACATTACTTAGATGAAGGGTTCAGATGTATGTAATTTCTTTGAAACAGTTTTATTCGTTTTAAATCTGCTTTAGAAAATTGGAAGAAATGTACATTGACTTGATTGGTCTCCCCCCCCCCAACCCAGAATCTGTTCTTTGCAGAATTGGTTTTATTAAATGAACATAAACGAAATAAACGCTACAACAGAAAAATTTGCAAATTAAGGAAAGTACAGAAAGATAAGAAATTCTGTAGTATCTGTTGATTAAGATTGTTATCAGTCTGCCCTTATTAAGACTTATTCTGGATCACTGAGCGTTTTGAATGCATTCAAGTCTTAATTTTCTTTCTCTCACAGAGTTTAACACCTGTGCTGCAGTTGTGTACCATTGAAGTGCAGTCTTAATTACATCTGCTGTCTTAGCAGCTTCCTGACTAAAGAGGCCATTACATGTATAAATACAAGTAAAAGGATAGGGAAAGTGACTTCTGCCTGAGGTTTGTTCTTTGCAAAACTTTTGCAGCGTACAAAACTGAATAACTTTAAAATTTAAACTTCTGTTCAATATTTGATTATGTCACCACTAATTTCTCCTTGCTCCCATTGTAACTGTTACGCCAGACTTATTGACTTGAGTAATGACAGAAACTGAATTTTTGCTGCGAGTTTGCCAAGCAGTAACTGTAGCTTCTACAGTGAAGTCTGTTGAAAAGTATGTTTACACTTTGTTTTACTTTAAAAAGTAGCCCATAATTTAATGAAATATAATCCTTTAGCATATGAACGTTTTATTCTGATAACTTGGTGTGTGTGTCAATATTTTGGATGGCACGAAGAGCATTGGGAAATATCAGTTGTGTGTGGAAAATTAGAAATTTGAGGTATATTTTAAGACATCATCTACCTGCTTTAAATGTGGTGTAATAATAACACTGAACATTCTGCAACTGATATTTGACACGCTGCTTTATTTTTCTTGTGGATAAAATGTTTTATACACTGACTTGTAATAAAAGAAGTAATCATGTTAAGCAGCCTTATCAAATAGCAAATGAGTTATTACATAACTTTTACGAGTTACCTTTAAGCATCACAAACTGCTGGTCATATGGTGACTTCATATCCAGATTTTGTCAGCCGTGGTCATTAGTCCTTATACAATATGCTAAATTGTGATACTTAGTAATATAAATGCTTATACTGGAATGTGTTGGGACTGTAGATGGGTCTGGATTGGTAAACAGATTTATTGCACACTTTAACACACCACTCCTGACTACATTTCACAGATCAATGTCGCTCACAGACTTGTGTTCTCAGTCCCAGTCTTCACTGTGCTGCTTGTCAGTGACTTCCAACAGCAAATTAGGTTCCTGAACTGTCCGTGGCCTCAGTTACCAGCTTCTCATTGCAACTCTCAACTGACTACCTGCAGACTTCCTCTCGACTGATTGACTCCCAGGCTGGCAACCATCTCTCACTAACCTCCTACTCTTCCAACTGCTGTCTCAGGACTCACTATGACTTTCCTCAGACTGACTGACGTGTTTCGATTCCCCAGGTATAGCCTCTGCACAGGCCCAACAGAAAACACCATTCCTCTGTTGATATAGACAGTGTGGTATCACATGTTCCATTGTAGCAGCACGTGCGCCTGGCGCTGGACCACATAGCAACACCACTTCCTGCAGCTCTCCTGTTGTTGTGTGGTGTCACTGCTGTCGCAGAAACGATGTGTTTACCTGGCCACTCCCTGGCAATTGCCATCTCTGCTGATTATCCCATTCTGACTTTCAGGAGATGTGCCACAATACTTCTGGATCTGAATTTTAGGTTCCAGAATCCTTAACTTTAATGATGGTCACCATTTTCTTTTACAGATCTATTCATGGATAGAGGTCTAATCTGGTTAGTTAAAGTTGAAGTGCAGAAAGCTGTATGGTAACTCTTTATCACATCCACTTGATATGATATTATGTAACTTATAAGCGTGCAGCATTATCCAGTTGAGTAGCAGGTAAAGGCAGATTTTAATTGTCAGATACTGAGGTAGAACAATATTTAATCAGTCTGAAAGACTAACTCACTCCTTGGAACGTAGTCCTTGAGAACCTAATAATTGCTCACACAGTGAAGAACCCAATAATTGCTCACATAGTCAAGAACCCAGATGTTCATGTTCATAAGAACTTCCTACTGTACTGTGTCCTTCGCCAGGTAAGTTTAATTATGTTCAAATCTCCATGTCCATTTTCTGTCACTTAGGCTATTTCAAGAAAATCCATCCAAGTCTTAGACCCTTAGAATAGTGCTAATGTTTTTATGGTGAGTTGTTAAACCCCTCAGCTCAAGTTCCAAGCCAGAGGACAGTCCCTTGTGAGCCTTCTGTGTGACCCCTTAATCAGCGTATTTGCAGGTACCCTCCATAAGGTAAGGCTCTCTGCTCCATCTGATATATCAGGATGCACTGTTCTATGATGACAGGGAATGTACTTTACATGTAAGGCTAGAAAAGTAAGCACCATGTTTTAAATTGGTGTTATGTGTCCTAAATGTCAAACTTCATACAAGGTTGCAGAGCTTACATATGCTGTCTGCCTGTGAGGTTTAGTAAACTTCAGATTACCTCACTTGAGACTCCATTTCATGAAGCCAAGTAGTAATCTAAATGTCCCATTAAGTGAAGTACTGGATTTCATCTGAAATGACAGCTAGAGAGCTACTTCAGAAAGACGAGACACAGTATATTTAAGTCAGCTGTGGCATAAGGGTTGGTATGGCATACCTCATAAAGCTGCAGTCTAAGGTAATAATAATTACTATTCGACCTCACGTGTCCTATCTGTAATGTAGGGTGCCCATATGTCCTGTTTTTCTTCGGACAGTCCCATTTTTACAACCAGTGTCCCAATGATATATTGGGTTTTTGGACTTTATCCATCGTCCTGGTTTTTAAGATAACCAATAAAAACACGACGTTTCGGAAACTGGATCTGTTTCCATCCCAATGTTTCAACAGATGTTGTGAGGACACAGATGTGTCCCATTTTTATTAATTTGTAAGAAATCTTAGCTTAAGCATTCATGTTTGCTAATAAACTTCAGGTTCCAGTTTCACATGTAGATTATTTTATGTGGTGCTGTATTATTTTGTAACATAAATGCTAACAACACAATTTAAATGTTGCAAACTGCCGTCCAGTAAAAATAGTATTTGCCTTTCATTCCTTAATTTCTTGCATTATTGAATTTCTTAATGTGGAGTTCTAAAGCACACACTATAATAGGTAAATCCATTGTCAAGAACATATAACCAGAATAATAATTGACACTTACTTGCAAAGTTATGTAGTCATTTCAGTTGTGTTCTGTTATTGAAAAGGTTTTTGTTGTGTAAACTAAAAACTTTAACAAAGTTAAAAATAAAACAATTCAAGATAAAAACTTTAAACATATGCAGATTACAAAAAAAAATAACTTTTGAACTTTTTATGTATGTTTAAAATGCTTCACATCCACTTTTTAGATGATTTTCTTTGATAATTGTGTGCTGTTTGATTGATTGCTATTTTGATTTCTGAATTATGGGCACCCTACTGTGAGGCCCTCAGTAATTTAAGATTCCATCACTTGGAACTTCACTTCTTGAAATTGAGCGCCAACTTAAGCAGCCCAGTAAGCAGAGTATGACACTTCATCTAAAGCATGGGACTGCTAGAGTGCTAACCAGGAAGGAGAACTCATAAAAGACTGAAGAGCAGTAGCAAAGTAAGGGTCAGTGTGGCCCACCCCTTACTTGATTAGTCAAATGCTGTTGCTAGTTAAAATTATGTAAAATTTGAGGTTCTCAGACTAGTAGTTATGTAGATTTTCTTTGTCTTGTGCTGTGTAGTCCATTGAAAGTCAGTTGACATTTCTTAGGAATGTATCAACTAAGCAATACTCAAGCAGAGCTCTGCTTTCTGACTGCTTCTTGCTGGTTTCTTTCATGGCTTATTCTTTGATCCTGAAGGTGGAAGTGATATGTTCCTCTGAAAAGCAATTGGTTTTCAGTTGACTGCATGGTGTTATATCACAGAAGATAAAACTCTTCAACTTACGATTATTAGTTAAATTTAATAAGGGCTCTCACAGTGATGAATTTCATCAAAATTCATTAACATAATATAAAATGACTTACAACACTGTCCAGTGTGATAGATTAATAAAAGTTGTGTTTCAGTTTTTCATTTTCCTTAACATGTCTCAATTGGATTGACCATCTTAAGGACGCAATCAACATTTAGGAAACCAATATTATAATGTTATTAATATTGATATCAGTGTCATTTTATACTGCTACTAGTGTGACAGACCAGACTGAGCCAAGTCAAGTTCATTAACATAAGGTGACAAATATATGTATGGAGAGATGGAGAAGCTTAAAGGGTATACATCATGTATGCAAAATCTGCTTAAAACAATTGAAAGGTTTTCTCATCTGTGTTGTTCGAAAAAGAAGAAATCAAGTTTTGCCAAAATTTATTTTTTATGAGAATCAAATGAAGTTATCAAGTATAGGGAGAAAACTGTTAAAATTGTTAGATTTTTATTAGCATTAGTTCTACTAGCAGACAATTTATTGAGTTCTGTATGTTTGAAATTGTTACATTGTGGCTAGTAGCTAAAGTTTTGAGGCATGATCCAAAATGATGCATCATCTGTTATATGTGAGTCCATATTTCCATTGCCTTTGTATCTGCTCATTTCTTTTAAAATGTTGCAGCAAACAGAACATGCAAACTAGTACAAGTAAGAACTTTTTTCTGCTGAGAAAAGGGTTTAGCCACATAAATATGGTTTCAGAGAAATGTATTTAAAATAATGTGAGATTTTTTTCTCTAAACTGATTTAAATTTCATTATCTCAGCTTCTACAATGTGTTTATAATTTCTTCCCTCATTTTAATTTTATCCATATGTATGTGGTATAAACAGTGCTCAACAAAATGTAGGAGGTCACCAAATTTTAGGCAACTGAACAGATGGCATGTAAGATTTTAGGTTCTTGCAACAATAGTTATTAAGAGTACTATCTTCTGGGGTACAAAGCCATGTAGTCCATCGAAAGTCAACCAACGTTTTTGAGGGATGTATCGCCTTCATCTTCAGGGTCAGCTCTGCTTGCCACCTGTTTCCACACTGGATTCTCACTTGGCTTATTCTTCAATCCCAAGCAACAGCTGATCTTCAGCAGACTACACAGTGTTATATCCCAGAAAGTACTACTCTCTTGAATGAATAACAGTTTTCCAAATGTACTTATTTCAGGAAAAAGTAATGAATATTGCCTTATAGGTTGTAACAGTGTAGTTAGGAACACACCAATTTTTTTTTGAGGAAAATATAGCCTTCAGCTTCAGGGTCAAAGAGTAAGCCAAGCAGAAACCTGCAGGATCACGTTGCATGCTTCTGCTAGTTTGTTGCCTGGCTTAGTCTTCAACCCTGAAGATGGATATGATATATTCCTTTGAACTACAGAACCCAGAAGACGTACTCTTTATAGTTACTGCTGTACGAACCTCAAATCCAAAATGCAGTGGTTCATAGTACTGTACAATGCAATTTCCAGTTGAAAGTTTTGTTCGGGATTGCCACATACTGCATGTGTGTGTTGTTGACCATATTGCTGCCAAGCCTGCTGGTGCAGACCATATAGAATTTGGAGAACCTTTTGTGAAAATTGTACAGTATGAGAATACTTTGCCTAAAATAAAAGGCAAAGAATTTTGAAAATAAAATACATTATATGACTGCACTGTCACTGTAATGTGTATAAAAGCTGAATACAGTATATTAGTTTCACTGGCTAGATAGAATTGTAGCACACCTGACAAAAGCTACCTCATTTGCAGTAGGAGAGTTAAATATGATCAGCCATACTAAATGAGAATATAATATTTTAATATATTCTACCTTGTGATGAAGTATAATAAACGTACATTGCTTTAAGAAGCTGACAAACGTTTATACATTTTAGCATTGAGTAGATG